AGTCCAGCAGGTGTGGCGCAGGAGCGCACGGGGCTTGCCCGGCAGCCAGCTCGCGGCCGAGGAGCAGCCTCACCCCTGGAGACCACGCCAGGGGCGTGCGGGAGAAAGGCTGGATGGCTCAGGGGTGCAGACGTGAGCATCCAAAATGAGTGCTGACCCACCTTCCAGCAGATGCCAAGCTACAGCTGCGCGGCTGATAACGCAGAGGGCGTGTGAGGGACCGAGGGCAGCAGCCGGGAAGGGCATGGGCTCCTGAGCACAGGTAGCTGCCGGAGACAGAAGGGCTCCTGCACGCTGCTGGCAAGGGAGCACCTCAGACCGAGTCAGCCGCATAGGAAAGTTTCCGTCACCCCCTTGCACATACCTCTGCAGGGTGTAGCATGTACCGCGGTTATCTAGAAAGGTAGAGTCACAAGTAAGTACTCACCTGCTTTTTTAAATACTTTGCTTGGAGCAAGCAGAGTGAAACATCCCGCAGACTCCAGTCCGCTGCTTCGTACGCTCGAGCATCTGTCGCTGGGAAGGGGAGCCTGACGCAGCAGGTCTGCCGGGGGCATTTCCTTCGGTTCCGCAGAATGTGCACTGCAACAAATAAGTATAGAAATGGTCCATCTGGTGCTGGCTTCTGCAACCCCTGTGAAGCCAGAGCTCCACATTTCCAAAGCATCATAGAGCAAAGAAGTTGAAGACTGTAAAAAAAAAAAATATATATATGTATATGTAGACAGACCAAGGTTTTACTGCAAATAAATCTGATCCTGCAAATATTTATGCACTGGTTTAGCTTTATTGGCCTGTTAACAAAGGTTAGGCACGTATATAAAGGTTTGTGAATTAGGGGTAAAATGACCCACAACAAGTCTTTCTTGAAGTTCGTAACCCCAAGCATTTTAGATTAACCTGTGTTTGGTCCAAAGCAATAATTCTTCCTTTGTTCAAAGGTATATCTAACCTTCCTGTTCCGATACCATTTAAAATGTGATTTATTTTAAACGATCGAGCAAATCAAGTAAATTTTATTAGATAAAAATGCACCCAGGTTGAGTCATAAATATTAATGATAGCTGATTTGTCACCTCCTTACTTATGTAATGAAGGCTGACTTTCATTGCAGTTACTCATTGTAATTCAAGTTGTCCAAATATGGCTTTATTTTTGAAACTTTGTTATTTGATAGATTTTGAAATTGATTGGGTCTAGTTACTACACCCCTTCTCCAACCCACCTAAAGCTAATGTGCCTAGAAAGAGAAATTATGCTACAGACCGTGTAAACATAATTCTATATCAGCAGGTAAAAAGTCTGTCCTCAGACTGTCCCCAGTTAAACAGTACGAGGGGCTTATCAGATTTTCCAGGTTATGCCATGACTTGGAATCCACACCTAAAAACCATTGTTACAATCAACAGAATACCGAGGGGGTTGTTTAAGTTAATTTTCATTAATCCTCTTATTTTTACCCTACTGTGGGGTGCCCCCAGTCCATGCTAGTATGATTAAGAAGTGGTCGGGACATGGGAGTGGGGGTGTCAGAGAACAGCCAGATGCGCCAAGGTCCACCCACTTCCCCCGCGCTGCTGTATAAAAGGGAGCGGTGGAGCGCAGCTCGGCAGTGGTTACCCCAGGCACACAAAGAAGGAGCTCTCGCTCCTGAGCGAGCCCTCAGGAAACCGTGCAAGTTCGGATCGCTACTACCACAACATTTGTCTCAGTGGATTATCCTCACTGTCAGGTAAGAAACCTTTTTTTTCCCCGCCTAAAGGTGTAGGGGAGGTGGAGAGGTAGTGGAAACCTACTAAATCTGAGCTGTTTTGACGTGCTTGAAGTTATGCTGCTGAGTCTTGCACTGGCTCTTGACATCAGCTGCAGTTTACAACATAAATCCCAAACTAGCTAGTTTGCCATGTGAAGGGGGAAGATGAGCTATTAGAGGATAAGCTTCCAGGCAGCAAAACACTTGCTGGAGTTTGGAGACGATGCTTCTAAAAGGCAGCTCTTTCTAATCTCATCGGTCTGCTAAATCCTATTGCAAGCCACTGGGGGTATTCTGGCAGTCCTGCTGGTTTTCAGCCGCCCCTGCAAGTAAAAGTCTCGACAAATGTAAACTCTGGAGGCTCTGTTATTTACTCTGTGATAAATTGCTGAGAAAATATTAGCCTTTGGTTCATATCACACACAAAGTTTCCAGTAGTTTAGGAGCTATATATCCCGAGGGAAGGAGTTCTCTGGAACCACCAGGAAAAAAAGCACAGACCTTACTTAACTTTTACTAGCAAACATGCTTACAATTCTTCTCTTCTCCCTCCACCAGGAGTTCAGCCAGAATGAAAGTGGTTCACGTAGCCCTGCTCTATCTCGGCTCTGTGACCTTCCTCGGGGTGGATGCTGCTGCAAGGGTGGACGTTGCGACAGAGTTCAAAAGAAAGTGAGTATCGGAGCGCGCCCTCCTGCCAGCGCCCAGCCCCGCTCTTTAGAGCTGCGGAGCCTCCGCGCCTCCGCGCCGGGCTCCGGCCGAGATCAGAGGGAACTGAATGCCCTGCGGGAATAGCACAGCTCCTAAAGGGCCTCGTGCCCTTTCAGGAAACATCCAAAATAAAATAAAAAAAATCTCGGCGCTGGCAAAGATTTTAGCCCCTCGATTCTCCTCAGCTTGGCTGCTGCCTTGCACGCGCTAACAGGCTGTCCTCTTCCCTTGCGCTCCTTTCAGATGGACGAAATGGGCACTGAGCCGAGCCAAGCGGGACGTGAAGCCTTCGGGCACGCTCCGAGGGCTGGGCCCCCCCCCCGCCGTGCAGCCCCTCATACGGAGCCAGGACGTGAAGGAGGATCCTCCTCTCTCGCATCCCAGGTAATTTCTAGTCCTCTCTGGGCTCGGACACTTGCTGAGGACAACGGAAAGTCTCAGGGTCCCCTTGTTTCCGGGTATTTTGCTCCTTTTCGCTATGGATTTCCCAAGCCCCAGGGACAGGTCTTGCAGGGGCTACACAAAGCGCTGAAAGCAGCCTCCCACATCCCTTTCCCCGCGCACTTCAGCTGGCGGGAGATAGCAGCGCCTTTACTGTGAAAGTCAGATATAAATAGTAACTTGAGCTCTGGATCCATAGATAAAGTAACAGCCATTAAACGGCGGGGCCTCTCCTTCCATAGGCAGGCACACCC